AAAGAGTGTGAGAACAAGACAAACATAAAGTGATTTTTTGTTAACACTTTCTCAGTCGAAATTGTACGACTGTGTTGTTTTGCCCATACTTTTTCATATGTAAAATATATTGCACCTACTGACCACAGCAAACTGCATGTGACAAAAACCTCCTTATGCTAATTTGTATGTCAGTCCTGCTACAGAAACAGGCTAAATCAACAGCAAAGAGCTGCAGAGGATTGTGTAAGGATTACTTCTGTCCATTGCTCTGACAGAGAAAAATTTGATAGGAAGCCCAGTGGCAGCTGGATGTCCACAGGGATTTAGCAGTAACTAGAACAAACAAACAATGATTTGTAAAATTGCTGCTTTACGTTGTGTGTCCTGATTGAGGAGACTGAATTTCTCTCCTGAAACACTCATACCACCTCTGCTTTTCTTGAAAATAAATTTGTTCAAATACCAGATTGTTTAATTTTCAGGGTATATAGAATTACATAGAGTTTCTTTGCTTGTCCTTTTCACGTGTTCTATTACATAATGATTCTGAAATAACAACTTTTTTTTTTTTCCCAGCCCATCAATAATTGCTGAGGGACTGATAACAATAATTGAAGATGATACCCTAAATGGAGAAGTTATGAAGATTACAGCATCCCAAGGGATTCATTTTCAACAATACAACCAAACACCTTTTACATCATCAAAGAGATAAATAATTGTTTTATGCTAATTATTTTTGGCTTTTCTTAAATATAAAAAATTTTGAAAAGAGTAATTTTTGGAAAAAAAGGTTAGTGTTGTATCTAGAGCAGTGACAGTGTTCAAACATTTGCATCCTAATAACGAAGAGATGGACAAGAAAATGTGGTGTGGGAAGACGTTACCACCCCATTTTGATTTTATAAGCACTAATAATAGTATTTATTCAGTAGAATAAACACACTGCGCTGGAGATTTTTCATTACGTACTAATAGGGGCCAGTTTTTTCCTTCTGGTAGTTCTGATCTACATACTGCAAGTGTATTTTGGTGGACCTGATTTACTTCATATAATTCTTTTCACTGTCATGTCTACTTATTTGCATCTTCAGTTCTTCACACCAGGAATTCAGTTCATGAATCTAGAACACAAATATACCTATAAGGAGTTAAGAATCTACTTTTTCTTAGGAAATGTAAAATAGAACAAGAGGCAACTGAATACGTTGCATATCACACAAGAAAGTACAGATTTTTATCTTGGATTTTAGCTATTTATAAAATAGTTCGGAAATATTTTTGTTTTCTTTTATAGATATGTATATGAATTTTCACTCTCTGTATATACAAGGATGAATACTATGGCATTGATTGAAATGTCTACTTATTAAATCTCATTTTCTAAACCTTTAAATCTAATTTCTTGCATTGATTGATTAAAACCTCAATTAAATCCTGAATAATCTGTTTTTTTCGTGTTTTATACATGTCCATTTTCGTATCATGATACATATTCTTAGATGGAGCATGTCGTATAGTGGCAATGAAAATAAAAAATGAGCTTCCTACCTCCTGAGAGCCACTGGACCTTCTGAATCCAGGTCAATCCCCAATGAAACAAACCTTGGTACTCCATGGGTTACATGCCTGCCAAAAATAAATTTTTACATGGTAATTTATTTAGGCTTATAGCATAAGAAGATTTAATAACTTCTAGGAAAGCTAGGAAAAGTTAATATTTACCCTCCTTAGGAGTACTGACTTTAATTTCACAGATGTAAGCATTGTTTTTTTCAGCATTGTAACGGAAAGAGGGGAAACAGTAATATTTACCTTCTGTGGAAGTCAGGGAGTAATCCGAGTGTGGGGAGAAGAAAAGAAGCAGACACACATACCTTGAATTACTTATCGTTCTCCCCCCGCCTCCATTTTTGGCTATGTTAGCATTATTTTTAAAGCCTATTTTGAATGCACACATGGCGCTAGCCACACCATCAGCATCCCTGAAAGCATGCGCATAACCCTCTGGACTAACAACTACTATCTGATTTGATTGTATTAATTTCTACTTTTGTCTCATTAAAATCAGAGCATTTCCTAATTTCCTAATACATGACAGAGTAGTGCAAAAGTTGTAATGTAAACTTAAAGTCAGCATGCTTCTTTAGTTAGGTCCCAACACTGATAATCATCCACCTCTGCTTCTCTCCTTGTTAAGCAGTATTTCAATGTAGCTTATAAACAAGGGAAGGCATAATAGTAATGATAGTATATGCAAACCATGTAATTAACAAACACACACTAAGTTAGTAACTCAGCAGCTTCTCTTAGTAACATACGTCAAATCATGATGGGAATATTGTAAATGTCAGTATGTATATGGCTGATATATTGTTGCCTTGATGGCTTTTGTTCATCTCTATTCCTTGCCGCCCCAAAAGAAATACCTGTTAAACAGGGAGGGTTGAGTTTTCCAAGGGATAAATGAAAGGATATATAATTTAAGAATATTAGTAATAAAAGGCCAGAAGTCCAATGTGTGCTCCCTGGAGGAAGAGAAACAGAAAGAAATTTAAACTTAATTAGAGCAAATCACTTTAAACATTGCACAATTAACTTGTGGTATTGCACTGGTACAAAATTCCAATTCTGTGAATTGGCACTGTTCTAAGAATGGATTCCATTTATGTGGTATATCAATAGTCACACAAGACAAAATTAGATTAATAAAATATGCAATTAGACTCCAGGACACATGGAAAATCTGAGCCTATATCTGGGAAAGAATTAAAGCCGTATCTTTCTTCTATGTATAGGTCTTTCCTTCTGAATTATTTTTGTAACTCAAAGACAGATGTTTTCAAATCAAAGCCATACAGAAAACTTTATGAAAGGCAGAGACTGCATTCACTTCCATCTGATAATCTGATAAGGAAGTCTCAGAATGCAATACATGCTCATTTGATCAAATAAACATTTATACTAAGATAAATCTCAAATTATTAGCTCATCTGGAACTCACTGAAAGAAACAAGGAAGTAACAACAAAGTAAAACTCTCAATGCAAATTCTAATAGGGAAAAATAGCCACCAAATTTCTACCTTTTAATTAAAAAAAAAAAAAAAATGCCCCAAACCAAATATTACAGTTTTCCAGGTTCAGTTAGTCTGTATTAAAACACATCTAAGGGTTTTATCTGCACAGGAAGAACAAGTCCTAAATACGTTTTGGAAAGGTTTCCTGTAAGACTTCCCCCCAACCTTTGGAATTCTTCCAGAAAGCAAGAAAAAGAGCCTATGTTTGATTTACAGACAGAAACACCCAGAGAAGCAATAGGTAGAAAGATGAGTTAAAGGGAGAAAGTGAAGTTTCATTTCTGCACAAAGATTGTTTTGAAACTTTGTCTTCAGTTAAAAGTCTTGACATAATTCCAAGACTTAATTTATTTTGCCTGGGAGATCATAATTTTTAAGACAACTGTTTTAAACTCAGCCAAAAGGAAAAATAAATATTTTAAATGAGAGATACTAATTGCCAAGAACATAAAATGACAAGTAATAATCTAGACTCATAGAATGATCATTATTTGTAATGGACATTCAATTCCATGTGACATGAGTTTACTTTTCAGTGGATCTTTACAGTTTCAAACAGGAATCTTTTAAGGGTAAAGAATAAATATTACGAGTGAACTCCATTTTATCAGTGTTTATGATCCTACACAAAAGCCCAAATCATAAGGCATTTCAACCACATTGTGACACAACAGTGTTACTTTACTTGTATTATTTAATGCCTTGATTCAAGGAAACCTTTTTAAAAAAGGTACATAACCACAGTCATTAACATAATTATGTGGATGACACATTACATTCTGTATAGTTTAGAAGGACCTGGAATTGACTTGTATTATGTGCATCATAAAATCATATGTGTATCAATTTTATTATTGAGGGGGTGATCCATGCAGTAACAAGTCCTCCTTGTAGTTTCCTTAAACTAAGGAAGTCCTGATATGAGAGACTAGACCTCTTCCTCTTGTTTGGAACATAAGTTTGGCAAACAGCAAACCAAAAATAAGCTTTAGTAAAACCAAACTCTGGTTTCCACTGAAATCTTGAATATAAGCCTAATCTTTAACGGAACAGCATTAGATGTCTAATGCTATGGCTTTTGGGCAGGATGGGGCTCTTCTGACAGATAATGATTTCCTTCCTCCAGTGCTGAACTGCTCTAAACTTTCTACAGGATGATTCTCCAGCTTGAACTTCCCTTTTAGCTAAGTCTATTTGCTTTGCATCAAGAGATGTTGACAGTTTTCAGCTCTGGCTCCAGGAGTCCAGATGGCTCAATGAAAGTGAAGGATAATACCATATGACCTAGATTTTTTTTTTCCCCTCCAGTACAAAAAGGAACAGCTTAATGTCAGGTCAAATTTGTAATTCAAACTGAGAGGGACAGTAAACAAGAAGAGTTATACTCTCAAGAGGACAGTAAACAGGAAGAGAACAGGTCAGGTAAAAAATATATAAGATGCAAAAAGGCTAAACCTAAAACATCTTTGAAATAAGTAACAACGCCATTGTTTATGTGGAAGGCTGTTATTATGCACTGTGGACCAAATCTAAACCTGAATGTTTTCTGACTTGTATACGGAGACAGTCTAACACACTACTCTCAGGGATTCAGAGAATAAAATGAGGATCTTCACAGTAAAAATTAACTGTAATAAAATGTCTATTTCAAGCAATTGTGCTTTAAGCAGCGAAGCATTTGCAACAGTTACATATTCAGCTCCTTTTATTTCTCCACAAGCTCTGTGCTAATTCACTGCTGGCATCTGCTGGGCAAACCTTACAGAGGTTACTACCACTGCAGGGGCAGAATTAATTTCTTGCTACAGAATTGCACTTTTTCAGCTTTTACTTTCATCAGAGGGTTTCTAGCCCTCCTGCTCTCACCCAGAAGAGAGACCACACAGGACAGGATGATCATCTGGTGACAGGGCTGACACCTAGTCCAGGATTTCTGGATGGTTTAAGGCTCTAGATTTAGCCTCATGAAGCAGAAATTCATTGTAGTGACATCCAAGAAGAATGCAAAAGATCTGTCTAATCCCTTATCTATCACCCTGACCTTGCCACCTCCTTCTCTGCATCTTTCCACTGGACTACCTTAACCACAAGCATTTCAGCAGTGAACTACACTCGAGCTACACCAAAACACAACTGCACCTCTTCAGCAGTCACTAAGAACACGTTCACTTAAGACATCACTCATTTCACTGATTTTAGACAAACTGTTTATTAGCTCACATGAGGCTCCACTCCACAGAAATGGCCCAAGGTATCTCAGTAGCATTTTTCTCTTTGCAATGCAGGCTTTCCTCAGCAGCTGCAATCTTGAGAAACTAAAGAAGAATAGGAAATAAGGCTTTCAGTTACACGGCTTTGAACTCTTTACTATAGGACATAAGAACGAGCACACTTCTGCCTGCTTTCAGAAAAAAGCACAAAGACAACCTTGAGTGCACTTCTCACAGCTGCAAACAAAACTCACAGAAGAGGAGAGGAAATAAAAGATATTTTTGGAACATAGGAACACAAAATTCTTCAGAAAAAATAGTTGTATTTTAGCTCGTCTAACCATGCCTATTTACGGAAATGACTAACACGTCAGAATCTTGCAGTGTTTGACCCTGAAGATGTATTGCTGCAATTAACACTACAAGC